TGGTGACGGGGTCCAGCGCTGGCACCAGAGCGGGCACCAGCGCAAAGAAGCCAGCCACGGCCAAAAGCTTCATGGCAGGAGCTGAAGGGCAAACTGGCTCCGTGACTGGTGAAAGCAAAAGGGAAAGCCTTGCAATGGGATTTCCTGGTGCGCGCCTGCAGTGTCAGGCTGTTCAGTGAGCTGGAGGAACCTGGATAAACCACTGCAATGACTGGAGCTGAGTCATCATCACATTATCGTTACACGTGGTGTTAGCAACGTGGCGTCTGAGCGAGGTTACGTCCCCGTGAGGGGGAGTGCGCGTGCGGGCGGAGCTGCTTTGGCCCACTCCCTTGTGCTCCCGTGGAGCAGCAGAACCGGATCCCAGCTGGAATTTTCTTGAGGGAGCTGCTAGTGTGTCTGCTGCCCCCTGTGGGCTTAGGCCTACCAGAGCCTCAGACCTCTGCATGTTTGGGGCTTGATGCCATGGGTTCTGAGCTCTTTGAATCCTACTGATTTCCTCAGGAGTGGAGAGCACTCAGCATCTTGCAGGACTAAACCTTTCCCCAGCTACTGGGAGGTGGGGGGATGGGACATTTTGCTCCTTTTTAAAGCAAAGCCCTCTCCACAGCAGGTTCCCTTGCCAATGCTGCCCCACAAGATATGTCATAAGAACGGCCATACTGGGTCAGACCAAAGGTCCTTCTAGCCCAGTATCCTGTCTACCGACAGTGGCCAGCACCAGGTGCCCCAGAGAGGGTAGACCGAAGACAATGATCGAGCGATTTGTCTCCTGCCATCCCTCTCCAGCCTCTGACAAACAGAGGTCAAGGACACCATTTTATCCCCTGGCTAATAGCCTTTTATGGACCTAACCTCCATGAAATTATCTAGCTTCTCTTTAAACTCTGTTATAGTCCTAGCCTTCACAGCCTCCTCTGGCAAGGAGTTCCACAGGTTGACTACACGCTGTGTGAAGAAGAACTTTCTTTTATTCATGTCAGGGCCATTCTGGGCTGCTCCATTTCTCCATGCCCTGCACGGCTAGGCTGAGGATGTGCAAAGTCCCAGATCAGGAGAAGGACACGTGTAGGCTTGAAAACCAGAGACTAATTCATCCTCTGGGCAAACATTTGAAACCCTTTCCTCTGTAATGGACCAGTAAAGAGGGTCGGGAAATGATTTTTCCCCTGTGAAAAATGTCAGGTTTTGTAAAAAAGGGAAAAAAATTCAAGAGCTGATTAAAAACAACCCCACAATATTGTTGACAAAAGTGACAGATGTTGTGACTCCTTGGGTCACAACCCCCTCTCAGACCTTGCGCCCCAATCTGCTATCCCTGGTTACAGCCCAAATTCCTGCATCCCCTCCTGCACTCCTGTCCCAGGTTATACCCCCCTCCCAGACCCTTCACCCCTTCCTCCTATACCCCTCCCCCAGAATCCTCTCCTGTGCGCATATTACTCCCAGACCCTACACCTCAATCCTCTGTCCTGGTCAGTCAGTGCCCTGCATGGAACCCTGAACCACTGGCTGGGCAGGGCTGATTAATTAATCACCTGTGAAGCTGTGTTTCTGCACAGCTTAGCGGGAACACTGGTCACAACCCAAACCCCTGCACTCCTCCCCCAGGTCTCACTCCCCTCCCAGACTCTGCACTCTCTCCTGTACCCCAGTTTGCTGCACCAGGTCTCAATCCCCTCCTTCACCCAACTGTTCCCCAGATCACACGCCCCAGTCCTTTACCCCAACCTACATCCCAGATCCTCGCACCTCCTTCATTTTGCCCACCCCTAGATAAGAGGAAGAGAGAGGCAACAAAAGAGAGTAACAGAAATGTTATGGGGATGAAAAAGAGGAGGGGGATAGGAAGCGGAAGAGATACAAAATGTAGACCTGAGCCTACGAAGGCAAGATAGGTACAGCCATTCCTTTGATATCCTCTGCTGATGTGATGGATGCTCTAGGTGCTCTGAGCAGCAATGTCACAAGAGACAGACAGAAGCCCTGGTTAAGTCCTAGACCAGTACCACAAGATCCAGCGTGTGATCCTGGCTCTGCCACTGCTCTGCTGTGTGATCTTGGGCAAGTCACTTCACCTGTCCCATGAGACTAATGACACTGACCTCCTAGGTAAAGTGGTTGGAGACCTATGGGTGAAAATCCTGCTATAAAAGCTAGTTGTCATTATCGCTGAAAATGACTCTGCAGGGAATTTGGACAGGAGTGTTCACTGCAACATGGGTAGATAAGTAGGCCTGGTATGTGTGTCCTGACGAAACTATTAAAAGGTCGGTGTGGGGGAAATGGCACTAAATTAACCAGAAAACAAAGGCTGGCTATGAAACAAACAGCTAGCTCCAGTGTTAAGCTTTCTATTCCAAGCACCGGATCCATAACCTACTGGAAGCAACAGGAGACTGTCCTGCTTGTACATTTTATTTTTTCCAAGAAAACTCATCAATTCTCTGGAAGTTTCTATTGACCCGTCCCCATGTTCAGAGTCCCCAAATGCTTTGTATGTTGTATAAGTTATTCCACTGCTTTAGCTGGTTTGTCACTGAGCCCAAAGTCTGATATCTGTGCTCCTGCTCACCTGTACAGTCCAGCACCCATATAGTGAATCTGTTAATGCTTGAAGCGTAAAATCATGATCACACTCCACTTCTGTCAGCCATGCTCAGATGAAAAGCCATTGGCCAAGGGGCACCTTTCAACACCTGGGGTGGCAGGTTTGGATTTTGGCTTTGGCTGGACAGCAGCCTCCTTTTTTGGCACATCTCCAGGTCTCCAATTAACACATTTGAAAGGGGAGTTCAGAATGTCGGCCCGCTGGGGAGAACCTCCAGCCCTAGCAAGGCATCCTTCAGCCATGTGAGAGCCAAACCCATCTGACTCAGTGAAATGGGGTGGCACTCACCATCCATGTGCACCCCTCATCTGCCGACACTGCCACTTTAAAAACCCTTTTGGTTACTCAGCCCCCCAGCTAAGTCACACTGCTGTGTGATACTCAAACCCATTCTGGGGTGCACATTTACCAGGGGCCCATCCTGGTGCCCTCTGCAGGGCTATGTCTACACTATGTTGCGGCTTCTTGCGCGAGTAATTTGCAAATGAGGCTAAGTGTGGAATATCGCCAAGCCTCATTTGCATACCTAATGAGCCACCATTTTTTTCAGAAGAGGCTCTTGTGCAAGAAGGGACAGTGTAGATGCTCCTTCTTGCGCAAGAGCCTCTTCTGAAAAAAATGGTGGCTCATTAGGTATGCAAATGAGGCTCAGCAATATTACACACTTAGCCTCATTTGCATATTACCCACGCAAGAAGCCGCAAGTGTAAACATAGCCCTGGTGTCTCCACATTTGTGTGTCAGTTTCTTCTCAGTCTCTTTCCCAACTCAGATAGACTGGCACCCCCAGAGCTTCCCCTCCTGAAGGCAATTTCCTCAGCCAGCCTTGTAATCTTCTCAACTTCAGCTCAGCTCCACACTGACTGCTTGCTAGTTGCAGCTCCTTTTATAGGCCTCCTTGGCTCCTGATTGGCTGATTCTTCCACAGCCTCTCTAGCCTCTTGGAGGACTTATCTATGGCTCTTCCAGGGCCAGGGCCTTGTCCAACCTGTCACACTCAGACTGTGGCAAGTTTCTCCTCTGTACTTGTATTTTTGCATTTAACTTAATATTCTAGGAAATATATCTTTCACTCTGCCATAGGACTCTAGGCTCTATTGGTGAAAAAAGGTAGAGTTGCTTTAGAGACAATGGAATATGACCTGACTTGGTCCGATTCTCTATTACCACGCATGCTTGTGTAGTCATAAGAGTGGTGCAAGTGCTATCACTCTCATTTAAGCAGCCTGACACTCACTTTGCACTGGTGTAAATGAATACACAAGTTACAGGACAAGGGAGAATCAACCCTGGCCTCTAAACTGTGCCCCTAGCCTGCTCAAGGGAGTACAATTTTATTAAGCTGAAAATACCTTTTTCAATGATATGAGAATATAGTTATTGGTGTAGAACTGCTATGTTCCCAGATGTGCTCCTCAGTCCCACAGACTTACAGAGGGGTGAGAAGTGCAAATGGAACTGTAGTTAGGGAGGCTAGACTGTGCCAATGCAGTTATTAAAGCTATCTGGAGAGAAAGGGCAAGAGAGGTACTTTATTTATTTCATTACTGTAATGGCCAGAGGCCTCGGTCAAGACTGGATCCATTTGCACAAAGTGCTGTACAAAAACAAAGCAAGAGACAGTCTCTGCCCCAAAGAACTTGCAATCAAATGTTTGTTACTTTGCCATCCACCCATGCCAATGGGAAAGGCACTGTTGCTAAGTGGTTAGAGTCCTAGCTTAGGACCCAGGTTCTATTCCTCGCTCTGACACTGCTAAAGAGCGGTGTAAGCCAGTGTTTCTCAACCAGTGGTACGAGTACCCTTAGGGGTACTCGAGAGAAGTCTGGGGGGGGTTACGTCAACACAACTGACATTTGGAGAAAACTGAATTTTTGTTTTAAGTTTTGCAGTGCTTTATTATTTTTGTACTTTTTACACCCAAAAATTTCATCGCCCATCCGGCTACGATTAGGTTGTTTAAACAAATGTGTTGCAATGGTAGAAACAAATTGTGTGCGTCCAAAACTGTAGGTACTGGGGGTACTTATAATTTTTTTTAAAGGGAGTACTTTATAAAAAAAGGTTGAGAAACACTGGCCTAAGCCACTCTACACACTGTACTTCCAAATGAAACCTCTGCTTCATTGTGC